TACTTTTTTGTTCCCATGTCATCCCCTCACCCCAAATTGCTAGAGCAGTATTCATGGAGTCTCCTATTCCTTCAGCTGCAACGTAATGAGTTGCGTGAAGCTAGCTGTCTACACTCCAGGAACATACCATACTATCTGTAGGCTCTGCTGTCATCCAAAGGTTGAAAGAGCCATCAAATATCTTTTTAGTCTCTCTTTATACCCACAGCTAATATAAGTGTACCCCATTCCTGGTTTCAGACAGAACAGAGGCTGAATCCTGGTAAGCCACTTTTTGCTCAGTTCCCACCTATAAAATGAAAGATGGGACTAGATTATCTCTAAAGCCCATCTCAGTTCTAAGATCCTATGAGTCTAAAATTGTGTTTATTATTATAAGTCATGACAGCTACCATTTAACAGTCTTCCAATTACCTATTTTCTCAGGCTTCTTTTTAAATTCTTTATTCTGGACATTACTGTCAAAATATATGAAGAATTCCTATAATTCTAGGTACCAAATTTGCTTAAAGAAACAAAAAATTTTTAAGACCAGATTTTTAAAAGAGCGAATTTTTTTAACGTTTTAATTTTTTTTGTGAGGAAGATTAGCCCTGAGCTAACATCCGTTGCCAATCCTCCTCTGTTTGCTGAGGAAGATTGGCCCTGGGCTAACATCCATACCCATCTTCCTCTACTTTATATGGGATGCTGTCACAGCATGGCTTTACAAGCCGTGCATCGGTCCGCACCCGGGATCCAAACCTGCAAACCCCGGGCCACCGAAGAAGAGTGCGTGAACTTAACTGCTACGCCACTGGGCTGGCCCCCAATTATTTTTTTTAGTATATTAAAATATAGGTCAGACACTATGTCTGAAATATGCAATAAGTCTCTTAAAATTATTTTAAGACCAAAGTTTCCTATAATTAGTTACAAAAATATTGCAAGGAACTGAACCAAAATAAAACCAAATAAACCAGCTACTAAACTACACATATGTCCTTAAAATCTTATAGGAGTCAAAAATTCCAGTAAAAATAACAGAAGAGATGGAAACACAAGTTTCTTATTATCACACTTCAGATGTTATAAAACATAACAGCTACCTTATTTTTTGGCAAAACGATTAGGGATTGCAACACTCTGGCTTACACAAACTTATTTGATTGTCAAATGCATCTTAAATGGAGCGTGTCATGCTAACTTCAGGCATGCAGGCACTGTGCTGTCTTAGAGTAGCCTAGAGACACTGAAATTTCAACACTTCACCAGGGGTCACACCACTCATATTAACTGGGCCAGGTGTTTAAAGAGGGGTGGCGGGACTTCAACAATGTAGTTAATTGAAACCAGATAAAGCTTTTGAATAATAAAAAAAAAACATACAGATGTTCACCCTCCTTCCCGGGTGATCTTTATGGACAATTTATTGCAAGCATTATTTTCTAGAATACACCCTTTTTAAGAAAACACAGTTTCATATGCCTCTCTGAAAACTCTATAATCACAGTATGAGTTATGTCTCCAAAAACAGACTAGGTTAAGCTTCCGTTTCATGTTCCTTTTCCCTTTTCACCACTATTCGTGCAAGGGCAAGAACACACGAAAGTAGACCAATAATTAGAAAGTTATCAAGCTGAAGAAGCTGTAAGAAGCTACATTTACCTTAAGATGCATTGAACTTCTTTCCCAATAGACACTGTGAACACAAGCCAAAAAAGAGAGATGGGTTCAAAACAAATGTGTTGAACAACTGCTTTCAAATATGCACAAGAGAAACTGTATATTACATGCAGAATGGATGTAGAACAAACAAACAAAAACCAAAAGGACAGATCTGTAAGTTAATAAACTGTGAAGGACTCAGAAATGACTATTTTCTTCCCTATGTTTATAGAGGAGTGTATTCGTCAGGGTTCTCCAGAGAAACAGGACCAATAGCATATATATATATATAAAAGGAGATTTATTATAGGAATTGGCTCGCGTGATTATGGAGGTTGAGAAGTCCCACAATAAGCCGTCAGCAAGCTGAGACCCAGGACAGCCAGTGATATAATTCAGTCTGAGTTAGAAGGCCTGAGAACCAGGAGAGCTGGCAGTGTAACTCCTAGTCAGAGGCCAAAGACCTGAGAACTAAGGGTGCCACTGGTACAAATCCCGAAGTCTGGAGGCCAGAGAACCCAGAGCTCCAAGGTCTGAAGGCAGGAGAAGATGGATGTCCCAGGTCAGGAGGAGAGAGAGAACTTGCCCTTCCTCCAAATTTTTGTTCCATTTGGGCCCTTACCGGATTGGACGAGGCCAGTGAGTGCAGATCTTCTCTACTCAGTCTACTGATTCAAATGCTAATCTCTTTCAGAAACATCCTCACAGACACACCCAGAAATTATTTTTTTCCAGCTATCTGGGTATCCCTTAGCTCCGTCAAGCTGACACAAAAAATTAACCATCACAAATAGTAATGCTATTATTATTTCAAATATGCAAGTACTCTTTTTAAAATGTTTTTAAAGCTTTTAAAATACCTGGAACAACTAATAACCAAAACTTGTATTTCTTATCAGTTTGCTAGATTTTATTTGACAGGACCAAGTCACTTCCTACACTGGGAAATAAACTCAATATTTTAATTTTTATATATATCTGTATGTCTACATGATTAATTGTACACCACACAAGTGACATCCTAACTGTAGTAGTGGTGGGGTAGGCAGCTTCTGACATGGCCTCCAGTGATACCACCTTCTAAAATTCATGTTCTAGTGTAATCCTCTCCTCTTGAGGGGGGGATGGACCTAGTGATTTGCTCCTAACAAGCAGAATATTGTAAAAGTAATGGGATATCATTTCTGTAATTAGGTTATAGCCTGTGACTTCCATCTTGCCAGCAGACTCTTTCTCAGGCTTTTCTCCCACACTTGGCTCTGATGAGATAAGTTAGAAAGACCCAAATGTTAAGGAATTGATGGTGGCCTCCACCCATCTGCCAGGGATGAACCAAGGCCCTCAGTCCAACAACCCTCGAGGAACTGAGTCCTGCCAACAACCATGTGAGTGAGCTCGAAAGCAGATCCTTCTCAATTTAAATCTTCGGATGAGATGTTGCCTTGGAAGATGCTTGATTACAGTCTTACGGGAGAGCCTGAAGCAGAGGACCCAGCTAAGTTGTGGCCAGATCCCAGACCCACAGAAACTGTGAGACAATAAATGTGTATTGTTTTATGCTGTTAAGTTTTGGGGCAATTTGTTACACAGCTGTAGCTAATACAGTAGTTAACCTAATGACTGAGCCAATGATTCCACTGTCATTTCCATCATCATAATAATAGCTAATTACCTATAGGAAACTTTTAAGTTTTAGGCACCATTCTTAATTCTTTATATAATTCCTCACAAAAATCCTTTGAACATTTAAATCCTTAAAATGTTGAAGAAAATTTTATTATCCCCATTTTACAGATGAGGAAACAAAGGTACAGAGATTCAATAACTTGTCCAAGGTCACACAAACAAAATACGACAGCAAATATTTGAACCTAAGTGTCTTGGCTCTAGAGCCAGGGCTCACAGCAACTGTGCAAACAGAACCACTAAGTGGCAAGGCTGGACACTGTACAGATGGTAAGCTCATAACATAGTACTAGAGAGGAGATTTAGAAGGCACAAAGAGATTAGAAGCCATGCAAAATGCTAAAAACAAAAATTAAGTCTGCTTTGTGACCTAGACACCTTACCTAGGGAGAAAAATCAGAGTAGAAGCACTAATACAGTGAATGGAGTGAAATCTTGAATTTATTGAATTTACACTTAGAAATGAAAAATACATTTTCTTATACCCAATAAGAGAAAATTAACAACCTCCATTTGGTATTAAAAACCACACCCAGGAAGGGTATAGTCATACTTTTCCTAAAGGCGATTGATTATGAGTAAGAAGTAAGTGCGTCAAGATGGTAGGAAAAGGAATGAATCCTTAGTAAGCTCCAAGACTCTACTGGAGATATTTTATCACATGGAGTGAGAAAAGTCAAAACCCTAAGATAGACAGATTCCACGAAGTAATCACTCCATATCTTGCATTCAGATTACTAGGTTAAATAGCATGCCTTCATGCTCCTACACACCCAGTACTTACCTAAGATGGTAGTTATCACACCTATGGGTTAGTTTGTCTCCTTCGTTAGACTTCAGACTCTCTTACCCCAAAAACTGTCCTATTCACTAGGATGTCCTCAAAACACAGCACAGGGCCTGACACACAGCAAAGTGTTTAATATACGTTTGTTGAATGAAGAAATAATTTATGTTGAAGAAATAATTTACGACCTATCCATTCAACGGGTCACTTCAATGGTACATATTAGTGAGAGTACAAGTTTTTGTTTTGTTTTGAAGTTTCTTGTAGTTCACTAGCTTTTCTGGGCACTTTACATAGGTCTTTGTGTCTCTAGTGTCTCACTTAGTATCTGGAACATAGTGACACCCAGTGAGTATTTGTGAATGAATGAATGAATGAGTGTCTCAACAAAGCTGCCAAGCTATAGAACAGATAGGCATCCAGACTTATGACTAATAAAGATTCAGTGTTCCATAAGGACAGCTGTTTGCCTACCAACGATGATGATGATGACAAATTTTCTTCCTTTTGAGGAGGCGTGAACGTTTGCAAAATACTCTTTCAATAAAGACACATTCTTGTCTAGGTCTTAGCTAGTGACTGCTCTTAAATATTTCTTTATAAAAGACAACAAGTTATACATAACTTAAGAATTCCAGATAACCCTAGATTAAAAAGCATTCATTTGGAAAATTCCTACCTCCTTCAGCATTATTTTTTGTTATGGAATGTTATGGAAATTGCGTGATGTGGAGATAAGGACAAGGAGAGCTACCAAGTATCCCTCTCTCTGTTCTATTTATCAATTAAACAAGAGACAAAAGAGCAAAGGAAAGCTGAGGAAGACTTGTGTCTAAGTGCATAACCAAGCACCTAGAGTCACCTCCTGAGGCATACTTACTGGGAGCTCAGGGGCATGCTTCAAAATCTGCAGGGAAATATAGCTGCCTATTGAATGGCCAATGATCACAAGTTTCACTTCCTTTGGCACATGAGTTCTCAGGAAAGCTAGCTTGTGTTCTACTTGACCACGGAGTCCATAGATGTCCTTAATTTCTTGAGCATTTGGATCTAAAAGCAAAAATATGAGCATGTTTTCATTCAATAAGTGAAAGTAATAAATTCACTGGGAAAAATATCTTTAAAAAATAACTACCAATAGTAGTAACCATTTATTTAAAGCCTACAATGTGCTAGCTACAGTGTTAGGCACTTTGTTTAAATTTTATGAACTAATCCCCACAACAACCCTGGAAAGGAAGTATTATTATTTCAATTTTATAGATGAAAATATCAAAGCTTACAGACATTAGGTGATAGACTGACAGTCACATACCTATTAAGTGGGAGAGGTGAGATTCAAACCCAGGTCTCTCTGTCCTCAAAGCCCATGAACTTTCAACTATTCCATGAACTCCTGTTAACTTAGGCCAATGGTTCTCAAACTTGAGCATGCATCAGAATCCTCTGGAGGGCTTATTAAAACACTGATGGCTGGGCCCCACCACCAGAGTCCCTGATTTAGTAGGTCTGGGTTTGGGCCCGAGAATTTGCATTTCTAAGTTTCAAGGAGATGTTGCTGGTCCCAGGACCACACTTTGAGAACCACTGGTTAGGCTAATTTACTTTATTAATAGACAACTAAGAAAATTCATGACACTGCTTCATTATTTTAGATAATCTTTGTTTGTTTGAAGAACTCAGATTGAAAGACTTAAACAGAAATGATGTAAACTGTTCCTTTTAACCAGCATAGTCCTGACCTGAAATATCCTTTTTTTCTTTCACAAATGCAACTGTTTTCTAGATTCTTCAAGAGCTAATTAAAACTTTATTTAGCTAATCTTCAAGAAAAAGAAGTACTTTGTGCTTAACCAGTACCCCACTCTTATTATAGCACTTTATCATACTTGTATAATTGTCTGTTTATTTTCTCTCTTAGGCCGTGAGCTCTGTGAGCTCCTTGAAGGCCAGGTCCATCTCTTCATCTCTGTGTCCTCTGTAACTAGCACAGTAAATATTATTGTTGAGTGAAACTATGAACTGACTAGATGATCTCTGAGGATGCTGCCAGCTCTGATAGTCTATAAATATAGAAAACTTCAATGGATTTTCCCTATGAACATATACACAATCCCAATGACAGCATGTACTATTTAAAAATACCACAACGTAGTCAATTGCTTCCTAAAATTTGAATCACTGGAATACTAAATTTCTCGCCTTCCTGACTCCTGCAAATTACTAACGCAAACTATAATTTTTAATCAAAAGGTACCCAGAACTCATTATGAAGGACTGCTCTTCCGTTTTATCTGTACATGCTGTTTTTATTTCCTTCATGCTCAGGTCCTGTTGTTAGTCTGGCTAACTACTCTTCATCCTTCAGACTCTCAACAAGTGTTATCTTCTCTGAGAAGCCTTTTCATGATTCAGTGGGTTGAGGAGTAAAGTCGCTTTCCTTTCAGTTTCCACAACATTCCCCGTTTATCTCACTACACTACTCCTAATTTACTCCTGCTTTATAGTTCATGCTTGCTTATCTCTGTTCCCCAATGCCTGGCATACAGTTATTGATGGGCTTTTTATTGAATCAATGAGGCTTAGTTCCCTAGTGCTGTTGGTGGTACTGATCTCCCGGGTAAGACATGTCTGCCCTAATCTTCTCAGGTCAGCGTAGAATTCATTCTCCATTTAACAAAGAAGTTCAGCATATAACAGAATTGGGAAGAGATAGAATCTGGAAATCTGACTTCAGTAGGGCTCCTGATGGCTCCAAATACAAATGTTTAATTAATATTATATTTAAGTTTGAGTAGTCTATATACTCCTCTACTCTCAGTGTATCTTCTCTCATCACTCCACCCAGATGTGAACATACTGTTCTCTGATACCCCAAAACAAACACCTATAATATTTGCAAACCAAGTTACTTTTCAAAATATACAACGTTTGAAAACGTCAAAGTCTTCCTTTCATTAGGACAGTATGGTGTACTACAAAGATCATGTGCACTGGAGACAAGATATATCTGGGTCTAAATCCCAGCTAAGCACCGTACTAACTGGGTGACTTGGGCAAATCCTTTAACCTGGCTTCAGTCTCCTCATATTTATAACAGAGATAATAATTTTAGCCTCCTAGGAATGCTGTTTGCATAACACTTTTAAAGCACATAACACAAAGTGTCTAGCATAAACTGTTGGAGAAATGAAAGTTACGACTGCTATCATTTTAATGCCTGTCATTTAAGTTTTCCCTCAAATACATACCAAGAACACTTACATAGTTAAAGCAAAGAGAAATAAAATGAGGTAAATGCAATAAGCATTTTAAAACTTCACTGACACCAGAGATAAGGTCCTAAAATATATTTCAGATGAATTTCAACGAATATTATAATTTAAATGATTATTCAAATGAATATTTCAGAGATAAATCTGGCTTTACTTTTGGGACTGCTCAGTAGATTTCCAAGATAAACACACTACCTGCTAGTGTTTGCTGAAGTAATGAGATTAATGGGCAAAGTACTTTCTATAAATAAATAATCAATGATAGAAAATTTAACTGTGCTATCTGGACATTATTTTACTAGAAAAATTAAAGGTTGAAAGACTGTCTACTTGACTATATATTTTCATGCCTATTATTATTTTAATATACTCCAAAAAAATGCCAGGAATCATTAACTTAGTCTCCCTAAAATGCAGTAAAAAATTACATTCAATTGTATCAAAATCAGAAGAATGATAATATGGAAATGATTTATACCATTCTTTCTATAGGGAGAATGTACTCCAAATTATAATTAACTAAGCACATTTGGAATATAATCTGTTTCTAAATTGAAAACTGCCTGAATTGATAGATGGTAATCCAATTCACCACACCTTTATCAATACATGATCCTGAATATGACACTGACAGTTCCCTTTTAGAACCTGACTCTATCTCTTAGAGCCATTTCTATGGAATTCACTTTACAGCTCATTTATCGATTCTGGAGTTTATTTCAAAAGGTACATATAATCTATTCCTAAGTAGTTCATAGAGGAATTAAGTAACATCAGTACTTCACATTTACTTTTCATTTAGTTGTTCAAACGGACTGATCTAGTTATTAAAATTTTATAAATTTTGTGTTAAAATATTATGCATCCCTTACAGCTTCAGGACACAGGTAAATCTGATAACTATTATTTTCTTTCATTTCACATGAAGGAAATTGACACTCTGACAGAAAACAGTGACTAATTGGCCCATGGTAATACTGAAAATACAAATATAAATACAATCTACTCCCCTTGTCTTCAAGGAGTTCACAGTCTAATAAGAGGAAACAGAAATAGATAAAAACACAATTACAAAATACTGAAGTAAGTATATATCAAGCATTTCCTTGAGAAAAGAACAGGGTCTCACTGGATCACAATAGAAATCTCTTCAGATTCATAAAAAGTACTGTGCCTTTCTCCAAGTAACCCAAGATAAAAGCCTAGAAAGTATTCTTTACTACATGCACATTACTATAAATGTATAACTTTTCATATTTGAATGCAATCATAATGGTCTAAATTTAACTATACATACACACATATGTATATCTAGCTATACATTGAATATAAATGCATAAGTTTTACTATATATTATCACACAAGCAGTATTTACAAGTCATCTATGACCACAGAACTAAAGACTGGAGATTAGCGCTACATGAGCCTTTGGCTAGGACTGACCCTGTAGGGGGTAACTCTCTAAATCTTACACCAGAGTCTTCTCAACTAGTAAACTCTTCCGTCCTGCCCCCATCATTACTCCAAAGTTATTCCTTAATATACCTTTAATTAAACAACTTACATATAGAGATTAAAAGGCTAAAAATAGCACTTCATATTTTAAAGAATGCTTTGAGCAAGATGAATATACAGTTTACTCTTTAGGTAAAGTTTTAAAAACACAAAACAATATCATATGCTGTTCATCGTTATGTATGTAACTAAAAATATAAAGAGACGTGAAATTTACTCTAAATTCATGACAGTAGAACTGGAGATACGATACCAAAAAATGAAACTTTTTCGGTATTGTTTTATTTGATTAAAAACAAATATTGAAGCAATTATGGCAGTGTGAACTATCAACAGAGTAGTGAGTAACAGAATCTTGGGCTGTTATACAATTGTTTGTACTTTTCTATATCTTTAAAAAACTTCCCAAAATAAAAGAAAAATTTTTAATTAAGAATGCTTTAACATGCTGATCCTAGCTATCTTACATCAATTTTATAGGGAAAACCACCATTCCCTTCTTCACTACTCCCAAGGGAATACAAAAGCCCCAATTATCTAGGTTCATGCTAAACATCAGTGAGGCAGTGGATGAGAACTGTCTCCAATTCTTTACACTTACTTAATTCACTGATCCAAGGGTCTTCCTTTCAAGACTGTCCCGAGTTTACTAAGCTGATGTGAAAGTACACTCTCATACTTTAGGCCTCAACTGTCGCTGGCTCCCTAAGTATTTTGTAGTTCCCTGTATCTACACATTGGTGCAACTCTGTTAGCCTTCAAGGTTTGCAACGCAGTGAGGGGACAGGAGGTAGACACTCTAACTGAAACCACTATTTTACTTAAAAAACAAACAAAAAACTTCGTAAACCCCATACATATCTAATAAATAATTTTTAATTATTATTCTCTAAACAGACGGTGAAAACCAGGGTCATCAAATTATGCTTTACACTTGACTAAAACCAATGATCTGCTAAGGATTTCAATGGGGAAACTATGGGAAATGAGAGAGAGAGGAAGAGATTGACTCAGCAAGGAGAACATAATGCAAAGACTTAGCAAATAACAAAAGCAAAAGGTATGAAAGTGTGCGGTGTAATTTTGGACAGTGATGAGTTCTGTGGCTACCTGTGGTTACAGGGAGAGGTGGAACAAATAAGGTTAGAAATGAAGGTTAAGAGTGGGTCAAATAGGACACTGAACATCACCAAGGAGTCTGGACTCCATTGTGTAAGCAGTGAGAAGATAATCTAAGGATCTTGAAGGGAGGAGCAATGA